TCTGAATCTCGCAATTATGACTTTTATTCTCAGAATTCTTGCAATTCTGTTTTTTTTTTTTTTGGTTCTGCCAAGGAATAAAAAATGTAAATGCGACTCTTTAATCTCACAATTCAAATTTTTCTTCTCAGAATTGCAAGATTGTATCTCACAAATCTGACTTTATATCAATTTTGAGTCGAAATTGTGAGATAAAAAGTCCCAATTATCTTTTATCTTTTTTTATTTTGTGGTGGACTTGTTCCACAAGTCCCTGTCTTTGGTTGTTCAGTGCACATATTGTCAAATACATACAGAGTACTCTATGCATACAGGAAAATTATATACTAATAATGTATACTGCATACTATAGAAATAGTCTGGGGTAAGATGCATGTGTGTGTGTTTTAACACTGTACTGGAGTGACAGCAGATGGCGAGCTTATGTAATTACGTGTGGGCGAGAGCAATGAACAGCAACACGTTTGAATTCAAGACCCCGAGATCATGTCATTCAAACTCACACACACCATGAAAATGTGTGGTGATTACACTAATCACATATAAGACCACTTTAGGCGCACACACACACACACACACACACAGCTGTCAATTTCAAGTGCCCTCACACTAGAAGCCCCTCCACATGAGCATATCATGTAATGCTGTTGCATTTGTCTTGTCTTAAAGGGGTCATATGATGCGATTTCAATGGTTCCTTTCTCTTTGGAGTGTTACAAGCTCTTGGTGCATAAAGAAGATCTGTAAAGTTGCAAAGACTAAAGTCCCAAATCCAAAGAGATATTCTTTATAAAAGCTAAGAGTCAACCACGCCTACCTAAAACGGCTCGTTCTAACACGCCCCCACATATCTACATCACTATGTGGGAAGATTTGCATAAAGCCGCCCAAATGTTCACGCAAAGAAAGAAGGCGTAACTTTTATTCTCGTTGTAGTATTGTTGCCGCCGCCGCCATGTCGTGAAGGCGCTGTGTGCTTCGTTGTGAAAGCGAAACTACTTTGTTTGGTCTTCCAAAAGAGGACGATATCTGCTTCGTCATGCCTAGAGCTGATCTGTGCTGGTCGCTGAGGAAATACATCAACTTCACGCTGTGGATCGCCGGATCGGCTTTCACCGTGGATGAAGCGGAGTCCAGCCCGGGGTCGCCACATGTGGTTGCCGCAAGCCCACCGGACGCTCCTTTGTCGAATACGCCGGCCGCGCCGTTCTCAAGCCCGCCCACCTCTGCTCACTAAAGGCCGCAGTGTGTGACGCTGTGTTTCGTTGTGAAAGCAAAACTACTTTGTTTGGTCTTCCAAAAGAGGACACGACTAGAAATCAGTGGTTAAGTTGTATTTACAACACTGTTCCAGAACACTTCAACCCAAATATTCAGATGTGTGCAGCGCATTTTATGGAGAACTGTTTCCTGATCCTGGGAGAGTAGACTACAATGCCGGCTGTTCTGACTCACAGACTGCAAGTACATTTTTTATATTTAAAGAATTTGCCACTTATGACTCAAATGTGAGTTTTGAGCAGTGTAGAGTAGCACTTGTTGTTTGTCATTTCTCCGATCACAAATGCAGACATGGTTTTATGTTACGCTCCGGCCGGACAGGTCATCATCACAATATGGTGAGGGACGTAACATTTCCGTCCCACGCTTGAGGTATTTGGCCAATCACAACGCACTGGATAGCTGGCCAATCAGAGCACACCTCGCTTTTCAGAACGATGAGCTTTGTAAAAATCGACGCGTTTCAGAAAGGCGGGGCATAGAGGAGAAACAATAATGTACATTATGTGGAAAATAATGTGGTTTTTTTTACCTTAAACCGCATAAACACATTTCATTACACCAAATACACAAAATCATGTTCTTTTTAGCAACATCATATGACCCCTTTAATGGCTGCTTCCTGTTTCATGTGTGCCATTTTACTCGTATTGTGTGCTCATCTGTAACAGCGGAGCTTCACTGAATAATAATAATGGCAAATGCATGCTACCATACTACAATTTCTGCAGTATACAGTATGTATACTGAGGACAAATATATGATTTCATTTTAACGATTTAATACTTGTGATTATGAGTATTAACAATGAGAATGAATAATATAACTTGTGATTACAAGTATTAAGGATATAATACTAATACATCTATTTCACGTCATTATTTGGTCCGACTGCCAAGGGTTAAGATGTTTAAAAACGCAAAATAACCTGAATGAGTAAGATAATGAAGTCATACAACAACAATGTTGCATACTACACCCTTAAAAATTATGTTTTTTATTTTTTTGCATGGATGGTTCCATGAAGAACCTTTAACATCCATTGAACCTTGCTATGGTTCTTTATAGCAGAAAAAAAGTTCTTTAGATTAAGAAAATGGTTCTTTTAAGGAGAGTTTACTTAAAGGTTCTCTGGGGAACCAAACATGGTTCTTTTATGGCATTGTTGCGAAAACTCCCTTTTGGAAGCTATATTTTAATGAATGTGTTCGGTTTACTATTTTATAAATTCTAAGCAGTATGCTAGTGCTCTGCGATCTCTCCTTTTCATTTCCCACTTCACAAGCGTAACAGTGACAGGAAACTGCCCTGAAATCATCTTCTCATTAGTGTCAGAGATACGGCAATGATTCAAAACAATTCTGGCAGACGAAACCCTGGTGCCACACCAGGACTCCAAATAAAACAGCTGTTTTAAAGTGGATGCACTCAAACTCTCACTTCCTTCTGTCTTCCTAGCACACACACACACACACACACACACACCACTCTGGCAGTGCTGTACATCTAAATAGCCCGAGTGACTAATTCCTGTGCATTTCAGCACTGTCTATTCTGGGCTGTTAGGATGGAGTGTGTGAATCATATAGTCGTTGTGGTAATTGCTCCTCTTTGTCTTCCCCCTCCCGCACTGTTCTGATTGGTTAATGAGGCTCGTTAAATGCACCAGCTTGTTCGTTCAGTAGAAGAGACAGCTGAGCTCAGAGGGGGACGTCAGATGGCCTTTTCTGTCTTAAACAGCTCTCAATTTAATCAGCCAATAGCATTTAGGAAAAATAATGCAGGCAATGTTTGTTGGCTCCATATATTTTGTTGCTTACTGCATCATTAGGTGTTTAAACCACTAATGGGGCGAGGAAGTTTTCGTTCATACAGCAGAGGGGCACATTACTGTTCCCAAAGGTCAAAATGTGTGTTATGCCGCTTAAAGTCTTAATGATTTAGTGTGTGTGTTTGCAGAAGCTACATGCTGCAGCCTAGCAATTATATGTTGTTTTTATCATACTGAAAATCTGTTGGGTTTTTCAACCAGGTGCTGAAACTGGCATGAACTGATCAAAGCACATGAATATTTAATGAGGCAAGCTTGACAAGTTTGTGATTGGTTGTTACTGAAACTGTAACATTAATACATTTAAATCGAATTGTGAGAATGAGAGTGTGGCCCTTATGGATGGAAGTGATTTGTGCGATTAAAATCAAACCATCTACTGAAGAAAAGCTCTGTTGTGACTAACACAGTGGACAATTTACCATCAGAGGTTAATTTATCATTCTAAAGTGTTTGTTTATCCAGAACAAATGTGGTGGCACGTTTAATGCGGGTTTAAAAGTGAACTCAAAGCAGACATTTAAAGTAAAAATTTTAATCCAGGGTTAAAGGAATAGTTATATTATATATAGTAATAACACCCAAAAATTTAAATTTGCGGACAATTTCCGTACTCATCCTCAGGCCATCCAAGATGTAGATGAGTTTGTTTCTTCATCAGATTTGGAGAAATGTAGCATTGCATCACTTGCTCAGCAATGGATGCTCTGCAGTGAATGGGTAGTAAAAATTTTAATCCAGGGTTAAAGGAATAGTTATATTATATATAGTAATAACACCCAAAAATTTAAATTTCCGGACAATTTCCGTACTCATCCTCAGGCCATCCAAGATGTAGATGAGTTTGTTTCTTCATCAGATTTGGAGAAATGTAGCATTGCATCACTTGCTCAGCAATGGATGCTCTGCAGTGAATGGGTGCCGTCAGAATGAGAGTCCAAACAGCTGATACAAACATCACAGTAATCCACAAGTAACACACAACTTTTCACTTTACATGGGATTAACTGATGGACTGGAGTGGTGTGGATTATTGTGATGTTTTTATCAGCTATTTCAACTCTCATTCTGACGGCACCCATTGACTGCAGAGGATCCATTGCTGAGCAAGTGATGCAATGCTACATTTCTCCAAATCTGATGAAGAAACAAACTCATCTACATCTTGGATGGCCTGAGGGTGAGGACATTTTCAGCAATTTTTCATTTTTGGGTTAACTTTGTGACAACCACACAGTGTTGTGCTATTGAAACACACGGAAGCAGAGACCTAAAAGAGTAAAATGTTTAAGCAAATAGCTGAATCTTTTATTTACAGGCCTCAAAACAGTTAACCTCAAATGCTTTAAATTAGTCAGAAGTGAACTCCGGCACGTCCTTCTGTTGTTTTGCTGATAAAGCGGTTATAAAAATCCCACAGAAGAATGGGTCAGAAGTGTGTGACTCAGGTTTTAAAGGTCATGGCTGTACATTTTCACTTCACTAAAGATCTGTCTCTATGGTTTGCATGTTTCTAATGCAGTTATACTTTGGAGACATATTTGTTGAAAACATCAGCATTTGCGATGCACTTAAGCTCTGTAACGTGATGTATTTTTGACTTCAATATGATTGCAAGTTTTGTTGAGTAATTGTGTCACTGTAAATGTGTGTGCACGTCTAGATTATAGGCTATGTATTTGTCAGTATGATGAATGGGTTTATATTTGTGGTCAATGCACGTGATCGAGTTAATGCGTGTTTTGTCTTAAGAGTTCATTATTGTGTGTGATAGAATCAAACGCGCCTGTTTGCATGATGCATGTGTTTTTGTTGGTGTGATGATAGCATTATGACTTCTGTGTGCGCTCAGTGGCGTGTCATGTGACTCGTGTCATCTGATCATCGCTGTATAAGTAGCACGCGGTTGGTGAGCTGAGAGTTTAGTGCTGCAGGTGCGCGGAAGGACGAGAAGGACACGCGTTAGTTTCCTTGCGTCCGGTCAGTATTGAACCCCGCGCTGTCCCGTTACAAATCACCGTCCGTCTGCTGTCGCGATGCGTGCGCTCGCCCTCATTGTTGTGTTGGCGTTTATCGGCGGGTCTGCGGCCGACACTCCGGCCAACTGCACCTATGAGGACCTGCTGGGCACCTGGATCTTCAGCGTTGATAATGTGGGTCGAGACCGAACCATCAACTGCTCCAGCACAGGTCAGACCAGATCAGACCATCACAGCTATCTGAATCAGTGCGCTTTTGTCTTCCTCACGGAAGTTCAATTTACTTTCGGTTTCATGTTGTGGTCTTCTGCGCCTCTTTTTAATACAATCGACCTCATTTTTTGCGTTATGCTAAAATGATGCATTAAGGATGGCATTAAGATATACTTTTGGATTTTTGTATACTCTTAATAACACTGGTACTGTGGTACCATGGTGCAAGGATTCGCATTGCTATTATACTTTAATTATTTACCATGATACTGAATGATTACTATGTTCATATACCATTAAGTTACTCAAAGAATTCCATGTCAAAAAAACATTGATGCTGTCTGAGAGTACAAAAGTTGAAATATTATTGTTTTGTTTGTGTGTAGGCCTATATGGTTTACTTTTCAAATTGTGTATGTTGGGTGTGTTTTGAAACCTAGAGAACTGCCCACAAATGCTTCCTATGAAGGCATCATGGGTGCATCTAAATATTCAAAAGCACATGATGTACAGAATGCAGTCTACATAGGCAGCTCTGTTAGTATTGCCATAATACTTTGACATTTACCATGCTACTGAGTGATTGTCATGCTTGTATACCATGGTATTTCCAAAGTAACTACTTTATACTTTTGCCGTTTTGTATATTCTTAAACTCACTGGTACCATGGAACTAGTATTGAAATAACACTGGTACTGTGGTACCATGGTGCAAGGATTCGCATTGCTATTATACTTTAATTATTTACCATGATACTGAATGATTACTATGTTCATATACCATTAAGTTACTCAAAGAATTCCATGTCAAAAAAACATTGATGCTGTCTGAGAGTACAAAAGTTGAAATATTATTGTTTTGTTTGTGTGTAGGCCTATATGGTTTACTTTTCAAATTGTGTATGTTGGGTGTGTTTTGAAACCTAGAGAACTGCCCACAAATGCTTCCTATGAAGGCATCATGGGTGCATCTAAATATTCAAAAGCACATGATGTACAGAATGCAGTCTACATAGGCAGCTCTGTTAGTATTGCCATAATACTTTGACATTTACCATGCTACTGAGTGATTGTCATGCTTGTATACCATGGTATTTCCAAAGTAACTACTTTATACGTTTGGCTTTTTGTATATTCTTAAACACACTGGTACCTTGGAACTAGTATTGACATTTATACTTCAAGGGGTCATATGATGAGAGCAGACTGCGCTTGTCGGAAGGAGGGACTTTGTAGAAAACTAAGCGTTTGAGAGTTAATGTACAGTATTTGAAAAATGTGTTTTTTGAACATTAAAGCATGTCAACATATTCTGTTACACCAAATACACAAAATAATGATCTTTAAAAAAGCATCATATGACCCCTTTAACCATGCCATGGTTACTCAAAGAATACCATGTCAAAAACGGGATAATACCATATTAATGTAGTATAGTATTTTGTCAGTGTCCATTAAAGCATATTTATCTTAATTGACAATGTTACATTACTACTTTAATGCTGCCTGACAGTACAAAAGTATCAACTTGATTTTCATTTTTGGTTTACATTGTTTCCTTTTCCTTTGTGTATGTTGTCTACGTTTTAAAACCTAGTGAACTGCCTTCAAAGGCAGCATTTGTGGGCATCATAGGTGCATCTGAACATTCATAGCACATATGATGCATTGGCAGATTTTGAATGTGTTTGCATAACACCAAAGCTATTTCCTTAAATATCTCAAATAAGCGTTTTTGACTTTTAAACAGGAAAGTCAGTGAAAACGTAGAATTTTATATACACGACATTCCCAATCATAGTTATTAATGTTGTGCACTGCTGTTTGGGCTGCGTGTGCTGAGCTAAAGATGATCACTGGTAAACTGAAGCGCTCTTTTAACTTAACCAAACGCATTCTATATGAGATAAATCAGATATACATCAAATAAACACAATATTACAATGTACAATTGCACAAAAGGCTGCAAACGAACAGCGCGCATCTGAAGTGTCTCTGAAGGAAATAATGCATTATTTATCGGCTTTAAGATATCGGCCAAATTTTCTTATCAGGCCGATACCGATAACAGAAAAAATGAGCCGATATGGGCCGATACCGATACGGTGGCCGATATATCGTGCATCCCTAATTTATACTTTAACCATGCCATGGTTACGCAAAGAATACCATATTAATGTAGTATAGTATTTTGTCAGTGTCCATTTAAAGCATATTTATCTTAATTGACAATGTTACATTACTACTTTAATGCTGCCTGACAGTACAAAAGTATCAACTTGATTTTCATTTTTGGCTTACATTGTTTCCTTTTCTTTTGTGTATGTTGTCTGTGTTTTAAACATTCATAGCACATATGATGCATTGGCAGATTTTGAATGGTGGCCGATGTGTTTGCATAACACCAAAGCTACTTCCTTAAGTTTCTAAATTAAGCGTTTTTGACTTTTAAACAGGAAAGTCAGTGAAAACTGTGACCGTGGACCTGCAGAAGCTGTCTGTAGCTGTGGATGATCTCGGTCACACTGGCTTCTTCACTCTTATCTATAACCAGGGCTTTGAAGTGGTGATCAATGACTACAAGTGGTTCGGGTTTTTCAAGGTAAGCATGATGAGACACTTTTAGTCTCGAGTGACAACACATGATGGGTCAGATGACTGAGGTTTCACAACAGAAGGGAAATTCTGACATCGACTCTTGTGTGTCACTGTTCTCTATTGTGCTGGTGTGTCTAGCTCAATAAACGTGGTACGAATGATTTTGCACATGCAATCATTTTTTTTTTTTTTTAAATGACTAGGATCTGATTTCTAGTGTTATTTTAGTATTTAGTGATGTTTGAAAATGGCTTTTTTTTTTATTTTTTCAGCTTTCATATTTTAGTTTTAGTAAATGATATGCCTTTGTCATTTTTCTTAAGTCTTTTTTTTTTCTTTTTCTTTTTTTGGGGGGAAGTGCTTCAACTTATATTACGGTTACCTGCAACATTTATTTTTCTCATTTTAAAATGTATTTAACTTCTATTTTTATATTTGATTTCAATTACCAAAAACAATTTTTAATAGTTTGTTAATAATAGCACTGCTGAGTTCAACATGCAATCATTTTTTTTTTTTTTTTTAAATGACTAGGATCTGATTTCTAGTGTTATTTTAGTATTTAGTGATGTTTGAAAATGGCTTTTATTTTTATATTTTCAGCTTTCATATTTTAGTTTTAGTAAATGATATGCCTTTGTCATTTTTCTTAAGTCTTTTTTTTTTCTTTTTCTTTTTTTGGGGGGAAGTGCTTCAACTTATATTACGGTTACCTGCAACATTTATTTTTCTCATTTTAAAATGTATTTAACTTCTATTTTTATATTTGATTTCAATTACCAAAAACAATTTTTAATAGTTTGTTAATAATAGCACTGCTGAGTTCAAACATTAAGAAGTCAAGAAAATATGAATACTTTTGCCTTCATATACAAATTTATGAACCATTTTATAACTGGACCTTTTTTTCACAAGATGTTGCTGGAGAATCACATAAAATGTTTATTTTAAAATATTTAAAAGCAGTTAATTCATAATAATAAATGTCTTAAAGGGGATTAAATATTGTTCTTTAACAGTAATTTTATTGCATTGAGTATTTTCTCTCTCTCTTTGTGTCTAGTATTCTCAGCAGGGTTCAGAGGTGACCAGTTACTGCGATCAGACGCTGCCTGGTTGGGTTCATGATGTTTTGGGGAATAACTGGGCCTGTTTCACTGGGAAGAAGGTGCAGCCCATCCCACCTCGAATCGACCACAATCACATGCTTGGATTTGAACACAAACTGTAAGTGTGTCAGCAGTCTTTGTTTCTCTACTGTGATGCAATTGTCCTTTATCTTGCTGTATGTCTTGATAAGATCTTGTGTGATTTCATCAACCTTGAATAGTTGATTTATTTGTGACCCTGGAGCACAAAAGCAGTGTTAAGTCGCTGGGGTATATTTGTAGCAATAGCCAACAATACATTGTATGGGTCACAATGATCGATTTTTCTTTTATGCCAAAAATCATTAGGATATTAAGTAAAGATCATGTTCCATGAAGATATTTTGTAAATTTCCTACCGTAAATATATCAACTTCATTTTTGATTAGTAATATGCATTGCTAAGAACTTCATTTGGACAACTTTTAAAGGCGATTTTCTCAATATTTTGAATTTTATTATTATTATTTTTTTGCACCCTCAGATTCCAGATTTTCAAATAGTTGCATCTCGGCCAAATATTGTCCTATCATAACAAACCATACATCAATGGAAAGCTTATTTATTTTAAAACTTTCAGATGTATAAATCTAAATTTTAAAAAATTGACCCTTATGACTGGTTTTGTGGTCCAGGGTCATATTTATTGGTTTGTATGGTAACAAACATCTTCTGATCTCTAGGCTCATGAAGCTGCCATACACAAACAACATGGAGTTCGTGAATCAAATAAACTCTGTTCAGAAGTCCTGGAAAGCGACAACATACAGTCTCCATGAGACCCTAACCATACAGGAGATGCTGAGAAGATCAGGAGGACATGCCTCTCGTATACCACGGTACGCTTACTTTAATTGATGCAGTCAGGGCTTTGTGTAAAAATAAATAACTGATGCCTTTAAAACTGAAAAATAACGAACTGTATTGGCTTTTTCTTTTTCTTTTTTTCCTCTGCAGGATAATGTGTACTGAATATTAAGAGCAGCAACATTTAGTTTATAAGATAAATGGTCAAAGATGTCATGGTTTTTCCTCTCTCTCTCAGTCGTGTCAGGCCTGTGACGGTTTCCGCAGACAGTAAGATGGCAGCCGGTCTTCCAGAACACTGGGACTGGAGAGACGTGAACGGACTCAATTATGTTAGCCCTGTCCGCAACCAAGGTGTGTATGTGAGGGAATAAGAGGAAATACTGCTACCAAACGGTTGCTTCAATCTATGTGCTGCATTGCTCAGAGTTGAGCATGTGATTTATATCCAAAACCTCTCGCAATCCTGTACCACCTACAGTTGAGTCCTGGGAATAACTTCAGTATGCTACTATTGATTTATTGTGTTTACTCTCCAATCCAGGAAGTGTGTGTTATTGAGTGATGTAGCTTTTCTTACTATAGAACCGCCTGATAAATGATGCTAGAAACACTACTGGGAAATGATGAGGTTATGGTCTAGTGTGTTTGGCTATTGTTCATTTTTACAGACATTTCCCTAACAAACTTCCCTAAAAAAAAAAAAAAAAAAGGTTTCCGTAGAAGAACCTCTGGATGTTTAATTTCATATTTATAGTTTAAATTTCATATAAACCATGGTTTCCTTCTGTGGATTCCTTTAGGCCGTTTTTGCTAGTGCTTCTGTAGAATTTAGTTAATTTTTCAATTGGCTTTTTTATATTTTTAGTTTAAATTTTAATGTATAGTTTTAGTAACTTGTTTTTATTATTTATTTATTTTTAGTCGGTTGGTTTTGTTTTTATTTTTCTCATTCTTAGCCATTCGAGTAATTCAACTTAACTTGGACATTTGTAATTGTCTTTTTTTTTTTTAAATGTAATTCATTTTTTAAATATTTTTAATTCCGCTTTTTCAGTTACAACAAATGTGGGTTTTTTTTTTACAGCAAATGTGTGGTACATGCAGTAACTACATCTTGTTTTTAAATGTATTTCATAATTCGCTGTATATTCTAAGGGTATTTTGGACTGCAGCGTCTCCCCTAGGTTTACGGCTTGGGGGGGTCAGTTTTAATTTTTCTGGACTCCTTTTTAATGATTAAATTTTATTAATCAAAGAACATGTCTAATTAATTAAAATCATGACACTTAATTCACCATCAATTTATCAAAAGTTTTACAAAAATTACATGTTTGGGGCCCTATGAAATGTTTAATTTTTTCCAACCTTATGATTTATTGTTACCAAATTCTGTGTATTAACAGGTCTAATTATTTGAAAGCATAAAAACAAGTTTAATTTATTCTTCCAATAGCCTACTGATTTGTTTTCCTCAGAAAATCTGTGTATTTACTTCTTTTTTTTTTTTTTTTTTTTAAGGCATAACAGTCATTTAATTTATCTTTTAATTAATGAAAATTAAACCAATTTTATTTTTGTCTTCCAAGTTAAACCAAACTTTTTTTATTTTGACAGGTTGCCGTGAATACCTTTTTGTTTAGTTTTTTAGTCTATGGTTTATGATAGGAGGATAGTTTTACTTAAATGAAACGGTAAAAATGCTGATGAAGTGACTCTCAGAGCAGTTCTGGAGATGTTGTTCATGTATTTGTCTTCATTAGTGAGACAGGAGACATTAATATCACTGGAAGCGTCACGCGCGCTTCTATAGGAGTAGTAAACAAAACTGCGCGTCTGCGCCATTTATTAACACACAGAATTCATATTTAAATAGTCGTTTTGCGGCTTAATATTTGCAAATACTAGTGGGAGTGTGGAGTGCCCCCCTAATATAATGGCAGGGGAAGCACTGGACTGAAGTGATTTGGTTTAAGATCTGTGGTCCCATGAGCAAGGCCTCATCACTAGTTTGTCTTTTTAAAGCCCTCTTATGTCTTAAGAAGTCTTAACCATCTTTGACTAAAGGTTCTAATCACAATATGATTTTTGAATTGTTTTTTTCCCAGTTGTACGCATATCATACTACTCTTAGGTTTACGATCTCATCTTTCCTAGTCAGTCTTTTACTGTTGACGAGAAACACAAAACTGATATTGTCATGCTGGTAGCTTCTCTCTGAAACAAGTGTGAGATGATCGGCTCTTCAAGCGATGGTCGACGTGTCTGGAGTGGCCCGTTCCTTTCAGAGCCTGATAGTGTCTCACTTTTGTTAAGAGCTCCTTCAGATGCTCAGGAGGCATTAGAGGAGGAAGGAGAGCGGATTAGAGGAGTGATCTGTAGGACAAAGTAATGAGGTTGTAAATTGTCATTTTTGATCTCTATATGATTTCCTCTCTTCTTTCTCTCTCTCTCTCTCTCTCTCTCTCAAGCTCAATGCGGCAGCTGTTACTCTTTCTCCACTATGGGAATGCTTGAAGCACGAGTCCGAATCCAGACGAACAACACGCAGCAGCCAGTGTTCAGTCCACAGCAAGTGGTGTCCTGCTCCCAGTATTCTCAAGGTAAAAGCACGTGTTGATGCATTGAGGCAAACGTTTAATATTACCCGTATCTGTGCTGAACTTCAGAGGACCTGTCTGCATATTTGCAGTTATAAAACCATGTGTGTGTGCTTTTCCAGCACCCTTAGGATTATGGTTACACAATCCGATTGAGATCAGAATGGATTCCTTGTGTAAATGTTTGACTTTGGGTTCCTTTTTTTCCTTCCTGTAGGTTTTTTTTAAGATCAAAAAGATTTATTTCTTTAGGGATGCAAAATTGTATACGTCTTTACATTGTTTATTCATAATTTCAGCTTTTCACTGTTGTTTTAAATGTGTAAAGTTTCTGGATTAATTTTTTCTCGTTTTAAATGCATTTAAGTGAACTTTTCCTTTATAAAACTTAATGGTAGGGTGGATTGGGAGAGAAATTAAAGCATGTTTAAGGGCTTGTTTTTTTTTTTTTTTTATTACTAGTAAAATTTTATTATATAGTTAACAGCAGTTTTCGAATATAAAATTCTTGCTACCTATACATATACAAGGCTGGAAATGGGGGGGATGCGGGGGGACTGAGTCTGGGGAGTGAATAGCGGCGTAGAGAATGTAATGTTACCTTTTAAACACTAATTGCAAAGTGTAAACCATTAAATATAATCTACAAATCATGCAATACTGTACCACTAATAGGAAGTGTTTTGAGGGCTTGGCTAAACAGGCCAATTAGAGAATTACTAATCATTCAGATTTTATATTAAATCATTCTTTAATTTCACTAATCAATCCTTTTTTTCTTTTTTTTTTAATTGAACACACAGGGTCATTAATGATGCTTGCACTATAACGTGCAAATTCACACACACTATGTATCTTTAATATGGCCAGAATTGTCTTAATATCCAAGAAGGTTTAGAGAAAATATGAAATAAGTTTAATGTTATTATAATAAAAAAGTTTGTGTATATGTGTGTTGCTACCAAAACAATGAATTTTTTTTAAGTTGAAAGTTGTTCTGATCCAAGTCAGTTTAATTCATTTATTAATTTACTTTTTATTCATTATTTGATTATAATACTATTGTTTATTATATAAATTAGTGTATATAATAATAATATTATAAATTATGTAGATTATTTAATTATAAACATTTTTGTCATTCCAGTGATATTTTAGTATCAAGATACTATTACTATATATTTTGTTAAAATTGAATTATTATTTTTTTCTGCTTTAATGTTAGTAATTTTTCTTTTTTGTTTAATTTTTTCAGTTTTAGTTATTTTGAGTACTTCGATTTAGACTAAAAGAAAATGAGAATTGTTGTTTTGGGAACTAGCTGAAGGAGTTTTTTTTTTTTTTTATTATTAAATCATTCTTTAATTTCACTAATCAATCCTTTTTTTCTTTTTTTTTTAATTGAACACACAGGGTCATTAATGATGCTTGCACTATAACGTGCAAATTCACACACACTATGTATCTTTAATATGGCCAGAATTGTCTTAATATCCAAGAAGGTTTAGAGAAAATATGAAATAAGTTTAATGTTATTATAATAAAAAAGTTTGTGTATATGTGTGTTGCTACCAAAACAATGAATTTTTTTTAAGTTGAAAGTTGTTCTGATCCAAGTCAGTTTAATTCATTTATTAATTTACTTTTTATTCATTATTTGATTATAATACTATTGTTTATTATATAAATTAGTGTATATAATAATAATAATATTATATAAATATTATAAATTATGTAGATTATTTAATTATAAACATTTTTGTCATTCCAGTGATATTTTAGTATCAAGATACTATTACTATATATTTTGTTAAAATTGAATTATTATTTTTTTCTGCTTTAATGTTAGTAATTTTTCTTTTTTGTTTAATTTTTTCAGTTTTAGTTATTTTGAGTACTTCGATTTAGACTAAAAGAAAATGAGAATTGTTGTTTTGGGAACTAGCTGAAGGAGTTTTTTTTTTTTTTATTATAATTTTATTATCAGTTAACATTTGTTTCAAGTAATGGAAAATGTCTTTACATTTAGGTACTATTATAACCCTGGTTCTTCCCTTCTTTATTCCACCATAAATTTAGCAATGCAATGGATGTTCTGACATTAACATTTTGGATTTTAGTGTCTGTATTTCAAATGATTTTGTCGTCTTTTGTACAGGTTGCGATGGAGGTTTTCCATACCTGATTGGTAAATACATTCAGGACTTTGGCATTGTGGAGGAGGACTGTTTCCCGTACACCGGGGATGATTCTCCCTGCAAAGTACCTGAGAAATGCACGAGGTACTACGCCTCTGATTATCACTACGTGGGTGGGTTTTACGGCGGCTGCAGCGAGGCGGCCATGATGCTGGAGCTGGTCAGGAACGGCCCCATGGGTGTGGCCCTGGAGGTGTACCCAGATTTCATGAACTACAAGGAGGGCATCTATCATCACACTGGCCTCCGTGACTCCAACAATCCGTTCGAGCTGACCAATCACGCGGTGTTGTTGGTGGGGTATGGGAAGTGCCCTAAGACCGGCGAGAAGTACTGGATCGTGAAGAACAGCTGGGGAAACGGGTGGGGCGAGAATGGGTTTTTCAAAATCCGTCGTGGAACGGATGAATGCGCCATTGAGAGCATTGCTGTAGCTGCTACACCAATCGCCAAACTTTAGAGAGTGTAGACGAATTGGTCCGTTGAAACAAGCATGGTCGGATGAAATATTTTTTTTTAGTATGCAATTCTGAAAATTGGAAGAAAGTGCTGTTCTTTTTTTATTTTATTTTTTTTAAACTTTGTTGCCAAGTTAAACTTCAAATTTTTTTTTTTGTGAAAACGGTCTTTTCCCATGACCTCCAGCAGACAAGTTAAGTGATCAAAGAGGCCATGTAGATTGAACTTCAGAATATTTCTCCCTTTCAGGCTTCTTTTTGTAGCAAACCGTTTGAACGTGAAGTTACAAGTCTCTATAGATTTGATTCACTCTCATTTCCCAATTCCTCATACATTATGAAGCTTTAAACTAACTTCATTTTGGCTTCAAGGTTCTTCTCTTTGGTCTTCATCTTCCATGTGAGTCTCCAAAGCTTTGTCTTTCTCTCTCTCTTGCTGGCTTCTAGGGAATTTATACGTCTTCTGTTATGTTCCCGTCTTGGGTCACCAACTCTTCCAATTGTTGTCACCCAAAACCAACCCCGTCTAGAATCTAGTTATGGTTTTAAATTGATCTAAAAAAATCTTAATTATTTTTTAACACAAAGTTGTCCTGTCTTTTTTGTTCTGTTCGTGTGGATTTCCACAAGGACTGTATGATCGAAAACAGCATTTCATTCTTTTTTCTTTCTTGTTAGATCTGTGCTAATGAAAGTAGGGTGCCTTCAGGTCCTGCGATGTGCTTCAGCTGCTTAAAATTGCGGGTGTTTTATTTTTTTTTAGAAAAAGGGATTTCAGATTTTCATTGATCCATGTGAGCTCTGAATGTCACATTTGCACTCTGCTCCCTCAATTTTTACACCACTCTTTTAATTGGACAAAGTCATTTTGTATTCGGAGAATATCAAGTTGGCAATTATTCTCTGGAAAATCAGTACTTGTGGTTTAATGAACCACACTTTGTCAATAGCAGTAGACTAAAGGGATGTGTATGTATATTTTGAATAATTTGCCAACAGTTAAGATGCTCAGGACTACAGTAGTCGGCATTTGAAGTGGATCAAAATAGTTCATCAAAGTCGTCCTAAGACGAGAACACATTTTGGTTTTAGGACAACTTCAAATGTTGACTACTGTATTTGAATCCAATGGTTTTATCACAATCTTTGATTTTTGTGCTTCTGTATGTCATGATCTTTAATAAAGCTGCTTTTTAAGGTACTTTTGACCTCAGGTGTACTTGATTTTTGTGTAGCCTAAGTGAAAAGTGCATGAAATCAAATTTGTATAAACTTGTTCTGTAAGTTAATTTCAGTTAGTTTGAACAATTCAGTCAGTTCAGAATTCAAGTGGGTTTCGGTCATTTGAGATGTAATGCAACTGGCATTTCTATCATAACTACAGCATCCATGATCTCTATACACCTTGTTTAAAGCTTAAAGGAACCGCTTGCTTCAGAATTGGTTGTCTAGTAGTTGTTGCCTCATAGGTCCAATCATATCCAATCCAAGGAATATTGCACATTTTGAAGGAAGCCATGTAAATTTACTATGACTGAAACCCCTTACAAAAATGTGCTGTGGTGGTAACCATGGGACTGAATGGTTACCAGTGTTGGGGGTAAAGTATTACAAGTAACGTGAGTTACGTAATCAGATTACTTTTTTCAAGTAACTAGTAAAGTAACGTAATTTTTTTTTTTTTTTTTTTTTTATGGAGTAACGCAATATTGTAATGCATTACTTTTAAAAGTAACTTTCCCCAACACTGATGGTTACTATATGCCATGGTATAAATGTGGTATTGAAAATTATTTTAAAGAATACCATGGTATCATGGCTTTATGATACCATGTCCAAAAGTGTGTGTGTGTCTGTACCTACAAATGTGCACCCACAAGTGAGCTAAACTTGTCAGTACTCACCAAAACCTACTTTTAGGGATGTTGACATTTGTAGAAATGGTTAATGTAAAAAAAGTAAATTAAGTGTTTTTTTTCTCAGTGAACCTGTGTGTGTGTGTGTGTGATATGTCGATTTCTCAAATGAAATGGTGAATTTCTGGTGAAGTGACTCTCAGGGCTGTTCTGAAGATGAAGTTCACATGTTTATATCCTCAGAAGCGCCTCAAACACACCCGAGATTATTTCGCGGACCCCACTTTGAGAACCCCTGTATTTTTAGGATAATCAGTGTAAACTTACAATAGGTCCTTCGCACAGTTTTGAGACCTTTACCACTGTAACTGGTGAAGAAAACGAGGCGTTGATCATGGTAAATACCTTTCATAGCGGTGGTATCTGGTACTCTTTGTTAGTGTTTAAGCTAACTGTATCGATGATCTTTTTTCCGCCAGCTGTGATTAACACACCGATGAAGACGTTTCAACAGACGCTCAACCCCTCCGTCTCCTCACGTCTCCGGCCTCATGCTCGACTAACGAGTTTGAGTTGCGCTTTTCTCTCCCCGGGGCGTTTCTGCTTCTTCCCTCAGAGTCTGCATGTTCGGCTCCGTCTCACACAGCCATGCAGAACCATCACCCGAAGGAACACTTGTATAAAATCCTGGTGATCGGGGATCTGGGTGCGGGGAAAACCAGCATCATCAAGCGCTACGTGCACCAGAACTTCTCACCGAACTACCGCGCGACGATCGGCGTGGATTTCGCTCTCAAAGTTCTCAACCTCGCCCAGGAGACCGTCCGACTGCAACTCTGGGACATCGCCGGTAATTTACACTTTTTGCATTATTAGTTTTTTTTTATTATTATTATTCTTCTGTGCCTAAAATTTGTTACGTACAACAACAATAATAATAAAAACTAAATAATTACACAATGCATTTATAAATTTATTAATTTGTATATGTACAGCCTTAGATATTGACACTGTGCGTATTTTTACGTTATTTTTTGTTTACTCTTAATTTGTCAAAGTTCATAACTTGCATGATAGATAGATGTGTTCGTCGCTCATGTGAGGGAGATTTCCACCTTTAAAAAAAACTGAAGGAAAACAGTAACGTTGCTGTAAATGGATGAAATGAGCAGAGACATCAGACAGGAGCGTGATTTGCCATTGTGAAGCCGTTCTTAAGAGGAAAAAAAAGGTATTTGGGCACTTAAAACGTTTACATGACTGAATGTCATTCCATTTGATATCAAAAAGGCATTTACTGTAAAGAAAGCATAATTTCTTTGGTTGTAAATGGCAACTATTTATCTCTATTTATGGACGTCTCATGTTGCTGCACTACCCAGCTGACTAAAATGTGTTCTGGAAACGTTTTGCAAAGGTTCCTATTAAATTATGTAGAAATTATTTCTGAATGTTTTCTAAACGTTCAAAGGGTCCGTTTAAAAAAAAAATTCTTGTTTATGCAAACATTAAGGGAACATTCCATTTCAGAATTTTGCAAACATTATGGAACATTACTTTTAAATATTCTCTGAATATTCTGAAACACATAGCTACATTTAAAAAATGTTAGACAAACGTTCAACTACAATATCTCAGAAAAAACATTCCATGAACGATGTACAGATAATGGTTGTGTGCTAACATTTTTAGAATGTTATTAAAGACCACATCATTTGAACAAAAGTTATTGGAAGAACTTTATTCTTAACTTTGAGAGAACTTTGCTAGCTGGGTAGTTTCCATTGCTCTCTTCATAGTTTCTCAGGCTTCACTCCGCTGCTCCAGTAACTTCTGACACTAATCCTGAGCACTGAGTTTTAAGTTTAACGGCGTGAGGCTGGAGCTCAGTGGAGTTGATCAATATGAGCCGTTGGAATGTGCTTTTCCTCATTAATGATATCCAGGCTTTAGTTCGGACGCTTGGAAATGTGTACAAGAATCTCAAAGTACGATCACGTGGATCAGAGAAAAGAAAAAGCAAAGAGACTGAGGTTCTAGCGCATTCACCCAAGGCTTCAGCTGAAGATAAACCTCTCATTGTTGTCTTTGAGTTCTGCTGTGATCATCACGAAGTCACGGTGAAATGTATGTATGTTCATGACCTATATAGCTGCGATTTACAGAAGCCTTTATCTGTCATGCGGTTTGTTCTGATTCATTCTCTTCTGCAGGCCAGGAGCGTTTCGGGAACATGACGCGGGTATATTATCGAGAGGCCATGGGAGCCTTCATCGTTTTCGACGTCACACAGCCGTCAACATTCGAGGCGGTGACAAAGTGGAAGGAGGATCTCGACGCCAAGCTGAGTTTATCCAACGGCAAACACGTGGCGGCCGTATTGCTCGCCAACAAGTGTGATCAGGGCAGAGACGTTCTCACCAACAATGGCATCAAGATGGAGCAGTTCTGCCAGGAGAACGGCTTCGTGGGATGGTTTGAAACTTCAGCCAAGGTACATCATGAATCATCTCAAATCACCACCAGAGTCTTCAGATATTCAAGATCAGTGTGCACAGGGGTTAAAAGGTCACGTGAGAGGTCATGGTGAGGGCAAAGCCTCGTACACCGGGACGATTATCGCGCTCGCTTATCGCTGACCGTTTTCATCTTTTGTGTTCATACCCAAGTTGTTTTCTCTGGCGACGAGCCGAGTGAACATGCAAATTCACTCCCTGACATTAGATGGCGCTTAATGAAAAACAGAAATACCCAGGTACACATCGCATCCAATTTGATTTAGAATGTTATTAAAGACCACATCATTTGAACAAAAGTTATTGGAAGAACTTTATTCTTAACTTTGAGAGAACTTTGCTAGCTGGGTAGTTTCCATTGCTCTCTTCATAGTTTCTCAGGCTTCACTCCGCTGCTCCAGTAACTTCTGACACTAATCCTGAGCACTGAGTTTTAAGTTTAACGGCGTGAGGCTGGAGCTCAGTGGAGTTGATCAATATGAGCCGTTGGAATGTGCTTTTCCTCATTAATGATATCCAGGCTTTAGTTCGGACGCTTGGAAATGTGTACAAGAATCTCAAAGTACGATCACGTGGATCAGAGAAAAGAAAAAGCAAAGAGACTGAGGTTCTAGCGCATTCACCCAAGGCTTCAGCTGAAGATAAACCTCTCATTGTTGTCTTTGAGTTCTGCTGTGATCATCACGAAGTCACGGTGAAATGTATGTA